GGGAAGTCAGTAGCAAACCCTTGCTCTTATCGGACATTTAGGGCATTGGGCTTCTGTTAAGGCAGACTTTTCAGGTAACGTGCAAAACAAGCCTTACTCACCTGTTGCTGTAAGAGATTTCATGACATACTTTAAGAGTTGCTTGTTAAATACCAAGTCCTGGCTAAATTTCAGCTTTGCCAGACAAGGGAGACCATAACTGCTCAAGTAGGCCGCAGCTTATGCAAGCTCATGGTTCTCTGAAGAACGGCCTTCGCAAGGCGCCAGCCGCATCGCCCTGCCTTCTGCCCAACCTCAGACCAACACGGTTCTCTACCTCCAATAACGGGGAGGGGGAACACAACCCCGGACACTGCCAACACATTACTGTTCAACTCGTCGTCTCGCTAGGCAAGCCCAGGGCAATCAAGATAATAGAACAGATTTCTCCCCCCTAACCACAGGAGGACGTTTAAAACCATACAGACCTTCACGTCTGTGCCTTCTATGAAGGAAAGACTTTCTAATCCTTACTTTTTGCAGGGTCAGCAACAAAGCCTGCTGCAGTCACTCAAGCGGAGAACGTGTCACGTGCGTCCACCCTTAAAGACAACCGAACCACTCCAAAGTGTCACTGCCTGGGAAGTAACCCACGTCACAACCGCCCATTCCCAAACCACACCGATTGGGAGCCAGTTCACGACTGTGCAGAAAGTGCTGCTGCTCTGACACCAGCACGTGGGAGTGAGCATCCAGCCCGCTGGACCGTGTAGAGGGCGACCAGCTGGGGAGAGAGGAGGAAGGGAAGGAGTGCTTGCACCCATGCTTTGAGGGTCTCAGAGGCTGGGTGACCTGCAGCTGGGGAAGTTTTCACTGTTCTGCTGCCCCTTTTCTCCTAAACATGAGGTCAGTAAACTCCAGTAGCTTGCAGTTGACCAAAAAATGCACGGTGCTTGCCTGACTTGAGTGGGGAGGCAGAGGTGGGGGAAGGGTTGCTTGGACATACAGTTTTGGGTTCCCAGGGGCTGGGGAGATGATGTGGGGGTGCAGTCAAGTAGGGAGTGAGGACACAGCTGGTTTTTAGGAAGATGCTTTTATTGAACAAATGGAATAAGGGAGCAGCAGTCCTCCTTGGCGCTTAGCTCAGAAGCTGGGCGTTAGCCATTTGGGACGAAGTCTCGTGTCATCACTTAAGCTTAGGCTATGGGTGCTAAGAGCCCTATGTGTTATAAGCTAGCTTCTGGCCTGGATGGGGACTGTCCCCCAGGAATATTTTAAGCAGTTCTTCTGGATTACAACTAGTCAGTCTAGAATGGTCCTCATCTGCCAAAGCCTTCTGTAAAAAAAAAAAAAAAAAAAGTGAATAAACTTTTAAAGCTACTCTTAGTCTCCATTTTAAAAAGTTACCAATAATAAAAAATAAATAAATAAAAATCACATATTTCACTGCTGTACAGCGCCTATACTCATCAGGAATTAATTTAAGTTGCCATGTGTACATGGTTTGTGATGGGAAAATTATCCCAACACAGCTCCACACAAAAGTTAGGCCACCCCTCCACAAGGAATTTGGAGGTTGACCCAAAAAATGTTTCTGAAATTGTGCATTTTTAACTCCTTCAGCAGTTGCAACGCTGTTCAATGATACACAGAAAGGTCTTGTTAAAGGCCAGGTTAGAAAAAGAAACAAGTGATCTTCATTACTGAATAATTTAACTATGCCATTTCCCAAACAAAAACCCATTCAAAGTTCCAATACAGAAATGCTTAAGTGTTGTCTCTGAATACATTATTTCTCAAACAAAGGTAATTTGTATAAACACAGAGCTATTCTAGGAACAAAGAGAGCCACTGGTAAGTGAATATTAAAAAATAAAGATATTCTATCCTGACTTGCAAAAAACTGCCTTTTGGTTTTCAGGGCTCTGATGTACTGCGAGTCAGTGATTTCTGGTTTCTGTGCTGTTCTCGCAGAACAGAGCGATGCATTACAAACATCTAGGCATCACCCAGGAAACATATAGGGAGACATTACTAAATGCATGAAATGCAACATTAGCAAGAGTTGCCAGGCTATATAAATAATGGAAATAGAGCCAGAAAGAGAGAAAACCTAACACACCTTTTTTTTATGTAGCGCACAGTAAAAGCTGAAGAGTTATCTTTAGCTTGGATTATCCTGACTTTCACCAAATTCACTACTTTTTTTTTTTTTTTTTTTTTTTACTTGCTCCTAATAAGCATTACTGGAATATCAGGTTACCATACAGCAGTACAGTTTTCTGTATTCACTAGATATAGATAGTACAGTGGTGGGGGAGGAAGAAATTTCTAGTTTTTCAGTAGCACACAACTAGCTATTGCTCCTTTTCGTGGCCGTGATTCCAGGCGAAAAGGAACAGCACTGAAAGAACAAAGCTCAACCCAGTGGTTCCTACAATATGCATCTGTTATTTAATAGATTAAAAAATTGAAGATAGAATCTGTTTAAAGACTCTCTAGTTCCAGTTTTACTGAAAGAAAAACAGTTCTTCATGTCTGAACTGAAGACAGACTTAGGTGAGCAGGACTAAACTGAAATGTAGAGAGAGCTGGGAAGGAAATGCTGCAGAAGTGCATCACTCCAGGCTCAGGCTTTGCACGCAGCACTGCACCGAGCGCTCGCCGAGTCACGTCCTCACCACTCCCCCTGCACACGTGGGACTCGCTGCAAGATGTAAACACTCTCACACTGCTCGGGCTCGGGAAGGATTAACACTTCCCCAGGACAAAAGTGTTCTGCACAAAGTAGAAAAGGAGCTGCCATTAAAAAAAAATCCTATGTGTTTGCTTCTGTAAAATATTTCAGCATGCATTTGTTTTCTCCAAAGAGACAGCATGGGAGCAGATCAATAAGAAGCTACATATGACCAATTTGGCTTAGGAATGCCTCCCAAATAGACATTTGTCAAGTATGTTTTTCCTCATCGAGGCTGCCAAGAAGCAAGACAGCCGTTTTAAACAGACAGTGGTCTACTATTAAGTGCACTTAATAAAGAATAAGCATCAGTGGACACAGATGCTTGTTCTTTAATAATCCATCAGAGCTCCTAATGACATGCAAACAACAACAACAACAATATAAACCCTTAAAGCATTTGCATAGTGCGTCAGTCAACGTGGTTTACAAACATTTAAGTGTCACAAGACATCTCTAATGCACGTAACTGGTAATAAGCAGTGCCCCAAAACACAATTTCACAAAGATCTAGGAATTCCAAGTCCCAGTCCCTTCCTTTAAGCATTAGTCTACACTTCCAGTGCCAACCAACGACCTCCACGGATTCAGGAGTTCAGGGACTGGGTCTCAGGACAGAAAGTGCGCTGTTACAAGTTGCCGAGTAGGAAGAGGGAAAAAAATTCTTATCCAGCTGAGACAGGTCACCAAGCTGGGAGTAGAAGAAAACAAGGTGATACTTCCCCTCTATCGGGCGCTGGTCAGACCGCAGTTGGAGTACTGCGTGCAATTCTGGGCGCCGCACTTCAAGAGGGATGCGGATAACCTGGAGAGGGTCCAGAGAAGGGCCACTCGTATGGTTATGGGCCTGCAGACCAAGCCCTACGAGGAGAGACTGGGGCACCTGGACCTCTTCAGCCTCCGCAAGAGAAGGTTGAGAGGCGACCTTGTGGCTGCCTATAAGTTCATCACGGGGGCACAGAAGGGAATTGGTGAGGTTTTATTCACCAAGGCGCCCCCGGGGGTTACAAGAAATAATGGCCACAAGCTAGCAGAGAGCAGATTTAGACTGGGCATTAGGAAGAACGTCTTCACAGTTCGAGTGGCCAAGGTCTGGAGCGGGCTCCCAAGGGAGGTGGTGCTCTCCCCTACCCTGGGGGTCTTCAAGAGAAGGTTAGATGGGCATCTGGCTGGGGTCATCTGAACCCAGCACTATTTCCTGCCCATGCAGTGGGTCGGACTCGATGATCTATTGAGGTCCCTTCCGACCCTAGCATCTATGAATCTATAAGGCTGGATGGGAATGGAACGAAAGTGCTGAACAGAGTGGGATGGCTTTGGAGCAGAGCGAACTCGACAGTCCATCTTGTGGCAACTCTGTAAGAGTTGTGAGTTCTGCAAATATTTAATTCAAGGACCACTTGGTAAGAGAGAAACCTTTTCCCTACACTGGCTCATTTCATAGTCTCTTGGCCTCCCATTGACTCGGTCCCAGTGCATTTCATTCTGCAGTTTACCAGGAAAGACCCTGAACACATGATAGTTCATGGTGAGTTCAAGAACCATCGATATAAAAACCGTAGAGATTTTTACACAAAACAGTCTTGCTAACCGTTCCAACGTGTTCAGAGTGGGCAGCGCGCAACTATACAAATGTTTTAAGACTAGCAATAATAGCTGTACTTCAAGGACTACTTAAGTTTCTGGCAAGTGGTTTCAAAACTGAAAAGGACCATAAAATAGATCTTACTAACTTTTGTGCTCTGACACAGTAAAGTAGAAAGCATAACACAACCCAAAACACTTCAAGTACATGCAGAGAAGTATTTAGAAGGAAAAAGTAATAAATGCAAAGACTTGTTTACAGTATCCAAATCAAAACTATGCCCAACCACATAAGGCAAAGAAATTCAGAGTTTAAGCCAAAATAATACCTTAGAGAAAACCCGCAGTGCACAGGAATTGTAGAATGACAAGTAAAGTAATTCTCTATTGGAAGACCGAAGTAAGTCCCAGACAAGACAACACTGATACCCAACACTAAATTATGAATTTGTGTTTAAAATTTCAGTAAATTTCTATTAAATTATTAGGAAGTGTTGTGAAAAAAAATCTCAACGTAGGCATATAACACACACCCTCATATTGCAAGAAAAGACAAAAACCCCACAAATCCAACTTCAGTGAAAAGATGCAAGACCCTACCTGGCAAGAAGTGTTGAGCCAACTTGTAACCACATAAGAGATCCTTTGTTTCAAAGCGGTTTCCACGCACTGAAAATCTGTGTAAAATTCCACAGTTGCCGTATGGCAGCCTGTCCTACATCCACGACGAGACCTACGCGGCTCGGCTAGCTCGTTGTCTAACGAAGCCCGAAAACGACATTTAAACAAACAAAAACAAAAGAGCAATTTCTGGCTGAGGAGCAAGTCTTAAAGGGTAAAACCACAGCCCTGACATGCTCCCAGCCCAAGAGGCGCAACTATAATCCTTGAATTATAGTTCTAGATCCTTGAATCTAGAAACCGAAAAGCTTAAAAGAACAAACTGGAAAAACTAATACACACGAGCAAAGAATCAACGACGCACGAAATTTTGTGCCTGCAAAATTGTTTAGACACTTGCACAGGTCAAAGGATTTTCTTTAAAACTAGCGTTTTGTTTTTTTAAGTCTTCTCCTTGTTTTTTAACACCTTTATAAAAATGGCCAAAGATGCCATGTGACACAATGCAATGCTCTGGAGTAAATGTTTTACCTGCTTACTACTGAACTACTAACGCCTTTGACTTTCTGATGAAAACCATTCATTTCCAACTCCAAATAATAAAGAAAATCTCAAAGCTGGCTTTTTGAACCAGATTCTGTAGATGGTCATTCTTAAGGAGGCACTGTCATGGCCAGTATAAAACTGGACCTTTCGGACTTTGTTCTGGTTCACATACAGTTGCCTATTTGCTTTGCCTGCTCTTACCTGGAAAGCAGACAAGTATCAAAGATTCGAAGACTCCAGCACGCCGGTCATCACAAGCCCACAGGAAGCCAAATCAAACCAGTGTCTGAATGGCTAGCTAAAAGAGATTTAACACTTTTCTAACCCTCATCTCCATGGGCAGGGCTGCTCACCACCTCTGGCAGTGATCTCCGACTGCATTAACTGAACCAGAGATTGGACCCTAACCACGGGGCTTGGAGGGGAGGTAGGCGAGGGAAAAACCAAGTGTTACAGAAAGCAGGACTCTCAGGCCTGTAATGCCACCTCATTCTCTTGCCCAGGATATTTTTTGGGCGACTGACATCTCTTGGCTTTCATACCCCACCTCTGCCCGTTTCTCCAGCGTATGCCGAACCGAACACATTGTCCTTGCTTTCCCCTCACCCAAAAGCTGTTAGGAAGTCACTGCCACAAACGGCCATTATCTTTCAGATGCAGATGAAACAATCCCCAGGCAAACATAAACCTTTAGTACTCCTTAATAAATGCGAGTGTTTTGGTAGGCCAAAACTGGTCGTTCCTGCTCATGCCCAATAGCTCCAAGTCCATATTTTTCACCTATTTCCCCAACTCCTGAACTTGACCATTAAAAATAAAACAATATCAATTTATAGTTTCACAAGCTAAACCACACTCTTACATGATTTATTTCCTGCTCAATAAACTAACCTGACAAAGAAGAACAAGCCTGAACCAGTACCAACCAGCACTGACATTCATCGTACTATAACAATGTTCAAATCTGATTTGACCTCAAAATACAGAGCCAAGAAATAAATCGTATTCCTGACAACACTCAGGAAAAGGGCTCCAGGTGGGCAAGTGCACCAATTTACTGGCCAGCCTTCTGAGGCGAGCAGGGAGCTCCCACGTAACTTCCCCCGACCCAGAGCTTTTCTGTGTGGAACGTCCCAAGAGCACGAACACCTTAATAGATACGGGGGGCACAGGAGCCACAAGACACAGCGGGGAACTGAACTTTTGTCTCGGCGTCTGCAGGCAGCAGAGAGGACTCGCTCAGCAGCATAAGGCATGACAGCACACAAGATCCACTGGTCTGGACTGGGAAGAAAGCTCTACCACTTGTCCCATCTTTCTTGTCCAATACCCTTGTGCAGCCCCTGTCATCAAGGGCCAGGTATAAAGGTATCAAGGTGCCAAACTCTGGCAGAAAAAAAAACAGTGTTCACCTGAGAAAGCATAACCCAATACTGAAGGCTGCTGAGGATTATGAATGAAATGATGACAATGGCTGGTTCCTTATGCGAGGCAAGGAAGCGAGAGGACTCATTCATGCCAAGAGGGAACATTTTCTCCATTCAGACAGGAAAGCTTCCAGAGCCTCTCTCCATCAATATTACAGACTTCCTAGACTCTCACATAGAGTTTCAAGTTGTGACTAGACAGACAAATGTTTCTTCAGCACAAGTATAATTCAAGCATAGAAAGTCATGCTCAAATACCTGTTTAGATGAATTAGCAGATGACACCAGTAAGACCTGGGAGTAACATTATAAACCATTTTCCAGCGTAACTCTGTATAAAGACTTCATAAGGAATTCTGGTCTTCGGAAAACCTCAGCTGGAGGGCAATGTGGATACTCAGACGCACGCAGGACTGTTTCCATGATCTAAACTGACAGGAAGAAGCACCAGAAAGGCTGATGGAGCCATTCCGTGGAGCACTTTGGGGGTTTACTTAATTTCAAAACTATACAGGTATCGAAACATCCATTTACTTTTCCTACCGCTTTACCCACCGCGGTTTTGCTCCAATCACATAGCACCTATCTCCTTGGAAAGATATGCAAGAGCTGTCTTCAGAGGCTAACACTGTACCTGTAATTTCATCTTGGCTCAATAGCTACTGGTCCAGATGATCAATTCCCCACATCCCAAAGAATGAGCATCACAGGCAAAATCCTGCCCATGCTTTCATTACTCTATACGAACTATCTCTATTCACAATTTTTACTCCGAGAAAACAGGAAATGCTTTCTGCAACATACCTGAAATGGTTTCATTCTGACTGAAGCGCTTTCCACAACAGCTTCAGAAGCAGGGGGTCACCCAAAGTGTTAAAGAGAACTGTGCATTACTTCAGTAACTTAATCTCACCAACTGAAAAACAAAACCACATTTCTCCCAGACCCTATATAACAGTGCTAGCAATACGCCGACCACTTCAGGTAAGCTGGTTCCTGCCTTTCCAGCTCTGGAAGCAGAACATCTAGAAAGCAAGACCGAGTCATCTACCATCCGGGGACAGGAAAGAAAACCTGATCGTTTAAATGGACATAACTGATTAATAGTCAAAACTACCCAGGCACATCAAAGCAGTGGTGTTCCACATCCTTCTGGACATAGATATAGCTATACCGTGATACCGCTGAGCAGATCTCCAATGAAAGTCTTGGGAAGCAACTAACTGCATGTTTTCAATATATTAAAGCATTTCACAGTTCCACTATGCATTTCTTGAAAAGCAGCACATCTTTTACATACAGGATATTTTTTTGCCTTTCACATGATGCCCATGTGTCTTCACTTTTTACTTACTGGCTGTGAAGGAGACTCAACTGAGGGGACTTGTCTATAAACACTCAGCAATACCAACTCAAAGGAAAAAAAAGAGAGATGATTATACAGCATGGCCAGCCACTTTAGGATGTTACAACAGTGCTGTCAAATTCCAATAGTCAGAAAGAAGATGACCTATTCTGTCAGAAGCATCCTCTGTGTCCTATGAGTCATGAGAAGAGCAATCAGAGACAAGGCCTCAGCAATGATGCCCAATGTCTATCTTGTATCAATATCCCATCAACAAAGCCTTCTGGGCTCTAGATGAAAGATTTAAGAGAACATCTTCACTAAGTACCAAACTAAAATGTTATTCAACCATTGCACAGGACTATTTGAGAAAGCAGCACAGGTAAGGACTTTTGCTATTCCTTCAATACAGCATAAAAGATAACTCCTCAACTGAAAGACCCTGCCTTGAAGCATGTCTAATGATTATGAATAAAGCACCAAATTTTCCCCAAACACAACTGTGACTCCAGCAAAATGCCTTTTTGCTTCAGCATCTATTGGCCATAAGATAATCTAAAGCAGCAATTCCCAAAGAGTATGCTGCAGAGAAGAGCGAAAGCGTGCCATGAGAAGTGGCACTTCATCTGCATGAGATCCAGCCTGCCAAGCTGCAGGGCTCCCCATAGGTTCAGAAATTTGGTAGCGGGGAAGCCATGGCAATTAACACGGCCACTGCTCCTGTCACCAAATTTCTAAACGCCAATCCTTCCAAGAGGGCACACAGACTGGATCCAGCGCACAGGGCCAAAAAATTGGGCACCGCTGCCTAAGTCTTACAAATAGATACCTTTTTGGGTGTAAGAGTGAAGCTTGCTGCCAATTTGAAACCCAAAAAGTGTGCCAGGGGTATCAAAAGTTTGGGAAACACTGATCTAAAGCAACAAGTATTATTTCAGCAAGCTTAAAATTCAGGCTTAACTATGTCTGAAATTTGAATAAAGTCTCAGAAATCTTTGGGTCAATGTCTGCAGTTTCCTTGAAATGCAAGCTCTCACATGCTGACTCAAAGCCAAAGCCACAATGCTTATGATCAACCCTATACCACAATGTCCATGTGCTGTTCAGAAGAATAGAAACAGGCAAATCCAAAAGATCTGGCTACTAACTAATTTGTACTGAAAGCTGGTAACAAGGTTTACATAGTAAACTTCCAAATCCATTCTTCCAAAAACACTCTGTGGGGAAAAAAGCTCAAGTGATAAATGGCACACATCTCATTTTAAGGTCTACTGTATATTATATTTTCTTCCCATCACCCTGAAGGCTCATCTTGTTATGACATCAGACCATAACAGTAAAAGGGAATGTGAAGGTAAGGAATGCATTAAAACTCCCTTGATGTGTCACTTTACCTGTGGGCTATGCACAGAGGGGCGCTCAAAGGGTTAAGAGGTACCAAACAGGGCAGGTAGTAAACTTTGGTACCAATATCTACAAAGTCTCCAGGCATATTGTGTACACACACACCTTCCCCCTCAACAGAGTGCAATGAGAGCACATTTCCACATCTGAAACAAATGGCATGGATTACACGTGGTCAAATGTTGTGCTACGGAAGAACGGATGGAGCCGTTGGGAGAGGAAGGGGGTTAGCCTGAAGTGAAGGGTCAAAGAGCAAATGCCTCTATTCTCTAGTCATTAAGAATAGTAGAAAGATGAATTGGTGTCTCAAGAAGGCAACAGGTTATCCAAGTGTCTCACTGATGTGGTCTGGTAAACTCCACAATTCAGTACTCTTAACTCCCACACTGCAAAACTAGAAGAGAAAAAAAAAATCACGACGTTAATTCACCAACACATCTAGGAGGTATAGCACAGCGAGTACTACTGCCGAGAGAAGAAACACGATGCCAAGTAGTTCTGGCATTTATAGTGCAAACAAGCAAAGTCGTACCGCTGCCTCATCCAATGATCTGTTATACATCACTGCTCCCTCTGAAAAAGTTGAACATAACATCCTTGCCCCCCAGCAAAAGATCATCTGCTTCCTCGTAGGACAAAGTAAGAAGCCTGGCCTTCCCAAGGATGCTGCGACAAGCACTCCGGAGATGACAGCTGCTCCACAGAGCTGAGGAACTTCTAGGGGGAATCTGGCGGTCATGGCTCTACCCTAGACTTTGTTTCCCACTGGTGCTAGGGATGCGCTAGATCTTTTCACTCTTGGTATGAAGCGCACATATCCTGGGTTACAATATGCCCAGGTTTTGCTTCACATGTACACACAGAACCAGACTCTCGCTCGCCTCGCTCGCATACACTAATAATGAGACCACTGACAGCCCAGAGCTTTGTATCTGCATTTCACAAATTAAACTCCTGGCAGTCTTGCAATGAATCTGTAACATAAAATTAGGAAGAGAAGCTGTGAGACAGGCAACATTTGTATGCAAGTGTAGGAAATAAATTATCTGTAGTATTCAGCTCAGACATAACTGTAGCCATAATAAGGAAGCCACGCCTTCCAGCACATGGATGTAGTACAATTTTAAAACAAGCCAGCCAGTAGCAAACCTCTAAGGCTCTAATGCTAGCCTCATAAAAAATTATGATCCATGTATAATTGCAGCCATGTCACCAATGCCACTATTGTTATTGTTAATATTCCACTGTAAACTCCTTTTCCAGGTTTTGTAACTTAGTTTTAACTTGCATGCAGTTGAAAGCTAACGAGTCACAGCATGGATTCAACTTTATTTCAGAAAACTTGAATGAAGTATTGCTGGGGGGGAGGACATCTGAAACGACAAAGCTGGCAAATATTTCTCTCTGATAAGCAGCAGTTATACACAAACACTTTCTTTCTTGATTTCTTCGCTATACACACTCCATGCCAGAGAATATTATTACAATGTACAACCCAAATCCTACTAAATACTGAACTTGAGATACATGTCCCACCCATCAAGTAGAGAGGACAACACCCACACTTTTCAGTCTGTCATAGCTTTACTGGGCAAAAATCCCCACCAAGTTTCACTATGTCAAAGCCAAACAGCCAAGTGCTTCACTCTACATTAGTGGTTCTCAGCTCCTTAGACTCGAGGCCCACCTCAGAAAGTGCCAGCTCTTAGCTTTCATGCATTTTTTTTTAACTAGGGAAAAATAATACAGCAAATATTCTACAGGGATGATCCTGCCTCAGGCAGAGGGTTGGACTAGACAGCCTCTGGAGGTCCCTTCCAGCCCCACTCCTCTCCGACTCCGTCATGAAGAACTCAGAAGACCACGACAGGTCAGCAATGTTTTGATTCTACAGATTCCTATTTGAAACCTCCAGGCTTATCTCGTGCATCACACCAAACACTGCCAATATTGCACGGCACCATGGGGCATCCTTGAAAGGACTTCACAGCACCCCGGGATGCCGCGGCACCCTGGCTGAGAGTCACCGCTCCAGACCAGAGGTGTCACAGATCAGCTCGCAGACCAGATCTGGCCACAGAGCCTCCCTGTCCAGTCTGCCAGGCCACTGGAAGATGCGGCGGAGCCATGCAGAAGCCAGCTGTGGAATTTGGGGCCTCCGGGCCCCAATGGACCTGGCGGCCGAGGGGCAAGCAAGGGCTGCACAGATACTGCCTCTGCTGGCTTTGCACCTGCTGGACCTCTCGCTGCCGTCCCTAGACTTGTCACTGCAGATCTGACTTGGGAGGAGCCCTAGATCCACAACACAAAATTACCCAACACCACCGCACAATTTCTTCCACCACATTTTGATCATCAAGGATTCCCAGATGCAACGTTCAGCTTTAAGCAGACTCCCCTAAAACGTTACGTAATGAGTAAGGTTCCCTCAAATCCCGATGCTGTTAGACACTAGGCAGGAAGTTTTTTGATTTGTTTGGTCCAGAGAAGACCTTTGAGTTCCTGGAAATAACAAATAGCATAAAGTTCACACAAGGGTTCAAAGGACACCCCTGGCATATACTCAGTCCCAGGTAAACGGGCTCCTGGAATCTCCTACTGTAAGACAAGGCAGCTGCGTCCCAAACCTGTTATCGCGCACAGGAGCCGAAACATTCTTGCTCAGATGTTCAACTAAACCAAAGCTGCTCCACCTCTTCTACCAGTAAATGCAAACACGCCTTGGGACTGGATCACAGCTCAGGCTGCACATCCACAGCTCCTATCACAGAGGAACCTCGTCACGCTTTCAAGCGCGCTTGTCCCTCAACTTCTGGCTATTAGTAAAATACGCCACGTGACTTGAGATGAGCCAGACCTTCGCCACCAACAGGATCGAAAACTTCTGACCTCTGCATTCAAAGATTACCAGCGAAGAGAACCGCCACTCTGAAAAGCAATAGTGACACCTAGTCTAACGGTCCAGAAACACAGCGTAGTGCAGTTGTAGGGAATCGCGGGTTTCCACCAGGGAGACATTAAGGAGGGGCGAGGAGGAGAAGATCACTGAACACGTCCAATTTTCCTAGCAGCGTTAACGTGTATGCTCATCTGCCTTCCTGCTGCGGGGCCTCGGTCTGCCGCTCGCTCTGTGGTTTCCGAAATCTGAACAAGATTCCTGCTTTTATCCCGTACTCGTCTCTGCTGCCAGATGAGTGGCACTCAGCGCTTCTTCGCAGCCCACAACCACTGAACTACGAGGCAAACGGTTCATTTTTGGCTACGGTAGAAGGCAGAAGTTTTTCAACAACTTAATAACATTAAAAGCAACCGATAGGCCAGAACATCCTGACAAACAAATGAAGCACCCTCTCTCGCAAAACTGCCGTTAGATACCCCCGACGTGAACCACGGCGCTGCGAACATTATCAGAGAGCGGATCAACTGCTCACGGAGAAAATAACACGTTCTTTAAATGACATGCCCGGCCCTCCCTGCTTTACTCTTTACACAGAGATGCCCTTCGAGCCGCGCGTGCGAACATGGGAAGCATCTTCACCTACCAAAGGCTA